CACCGGGAACCTTGGAGAGAGGTTTTTCCATGGACTGGAGGATGCTGTATGCTGCCTACATCTCGCTGATGGGGCTTTGTTTGTGTGGCCTGATTGCTGGCATGCCGCAGCCCGGTACTGGTCCATGGACCGGGTGTTAGGGACACCTGCTTTAGAACCCACTACCAGGATGGAGTAATAGTAATAGTAATAGTAGTAAAGTTGGAAGGGACCTTGGAGGTCATCTAGTCCAACCCCCTGCTCGGGCAGGAAACCCTACACCATTTCGGACAAATGGCTGTCCAGTCTCTTCTTAAAAACTTCCAGTGTTGGAGCATTTACTGCTTCTGGAGGCAGGCTGTTCCACTGATTAATTGTTCTCACTGTCAGGAAGTTTCTCCTTAGTTCTAGGTTGCTTCTCTCCTTGATTAGTTTCCACCCGTTGCTTCTTGTCCTGCCTTCAGGTGCTTTGGAAAATAGCTTATTCCCTCTTCTTTATGGCAGCCCCTGAGATATTGGAATACTGCTATCATGTCCCCCCTTGTCCTTCTCTTCGTTAAACTAGACATACCCAATTCTAGCAACCGTTCCTTATATGTTTTAGCCTCCAGTCCCCTAATCATCTTTGTTGCTCTTCTCTGTACTCTTTCTAGAGTCTCAACATCTTTTTTACATCGTGGTGACCAAAACTGGATGCAGTATTCCAAGTGTGGCCTTACCAAGGCATTGAAGAGTGGTATTAATACTTCACGTGATCTTGATTCTATCCCTCTGTTAATGCAGCCTAGCACTGTGTTGGCCTTTTTGGCAGCTGCAGCACACTGCTGGCTCATATTTAGGTGATTGTCTACTAGGACTCCGAGGTCCCTCTCACAGTTACTACTATTGAGCATGGTGCCACCTATGCTGTACTTGTGCATTTGGTTTTTCTTGCCTAAATGTAGAACCTTGCTTTTTTCACCATTGAATTTCATTTTGTTAGTTAGTGCCCAGTGTTCAAGTCTGTCCAGATCCTTCTGTATCTTAAGCCTGTCTTCTGGAGTGTTGGCTATTCCTGCCAGCTTGGTGTCGTCTGCAAATTTGATGAGTTCCCCATCTATCCCTTCATCCAAATCGTTGATGAAGATGTTGAAGAGTACTGGGCCCAGAACAGAGCCCTGGGGCACCCCACTACACACTTCCCTCCATATAGATGCAGTTCCATTGAGGACCACTCGCTGAGTACGGCCGGTCAGCCAGCTACGGATCCATCTGGTGGTGGTTCTGTCTACCCCACATTTTTCTATCTTGTCAAGTAGTAGGTTGTGATCTACTTTATCAAATGCCTTACTGAAGTCCAAGTAAATTATGTCCACAGCATTCCTCTGATCCACTAATTTTGTCACTTGGTCAAAGAATGCAATAAGATTTGTCTGGCATGATCTATTTTTGACAAACCCATGTTGGCTTTTAGTAATGACTTTGTTTGCCTCTAGGTGTTCGTTGATTCGTTGTTTGATTATCTTTTCCAGGATCTTCCCAGGTATTGAGGTCAGGCTGATAGGTCTGTAATTTCCTGGATCCATTTTTTTTCCTTTTTTGAGGATGGGAACTACATCAGCTCTTTTCCAGTCCTCTGGTAGTTCCCCTGTGTTCCAGGATCTTTGAAAAATATAGTTCAGTGGCTCCGATATCACATCTGCCAGTTCCTTGAGAACTCTGGGGTGTAATCCGTCTGGTCCTGGCGATTTGAACTCATCTAGGCTGGACAGGTGCTCACTAACGATTTTCTTGCCTATCTTAACTTGTGTTTCTGTTTTGTTTTTTGTGGCACTATTTTTGATAGGTTGGTCTGTTTTTTCCCTTTGTGTAAAGACAGATGCAAAAAATGAGTTAAATAGTTCTGCTTTCTCCCTGTTGCTTGTCACCTTCTTGCCACTTCCACCCACTAATGGACCAATCATTTCCTTCACTTTTTTCTTGTTTTTTACATGTTGAAAGAAGCTTTTTTTGTTATTTTTGACTTTGGTCGCAAGCCTCAGTTCATTTTGAGCCTTGGCTTTCTTCACTTCATCTTTGCAGGCTCGGGCTATTTGCTGATATTCTGACTTAGTTATGTTCCCCTCTTTCCACTTTCTATACTTGTCCTTTTTATCTTTCAATTTGTCAGAGAGTTCTTTATGCAGCCATGCTGGTTTCTTTTGAGAGCTGTTATTTTTCCTCTTTGTTGGTATTGTGCTAGACTGTGCTTTTATTATCTCATTTTTCAAAATTTCCCAAGCTTCTTGAGTTGTTTTCCCCTTGAGGATTCTCATCCATGGAATCCTTCCCAAGCCCTCTCTAAGTTTATTGAAATTAGCTCTCTTGAAGTCCAAGACTCTAGTTTGACTGTGTTCTATTGGTTGTGCTTCTATAATGTTGAATTCTAATATTGCATGATCACTTCCTCCCAGGGTTCCTATGGCTCCAACACCGTCTATCATTTCATCTCTGTTAGTGAGAATTAGATCCAAAATGGCTAATCCCCTAGTTCCATTCTCTACTTTTTGGGAGACAAAGTTGTCTGCTAGGTTTGCCAGGAACCTGTTTGATCTTCCACTTGGTGCGGAGTTTGTCTCCCAGTTGATGTCAGGGTAGTTAAAGTCCCCCATTACTATTGTGATGTGCTTCCTACATACCTTAGTTAGCTGACTAGCAAAAAGTTCATCTATTTCCTCTGTTTGGTTGGGTGGTCTGTAGTATACACCTATGGCAATGTCATTCCCCCCCCCTTTTATATTGACCCAAATGCATTCAAGACAGTTTTTATCATTGTTGTACTCTATTTCTGTGAAGATGTAGTTATTTCTTATATAGAGAGCAACTCCACCTCCTCTTTTATTTGGTCTGTTTCTTTTAAATAATTTAAATCCCTCTAGCTGTGTGTTCCATGTGTGAGTTTCATCCCACCATGTTTCCGTAATGGCAACAATATCGTATCTGCCCTCATTAACCTGAATTTCTAGTTCACCCTGTTTGCTGTTCATACTTTGTGCATTGGTGTATAAACATTTGAGTCCTTTGTGGGTGGCCCTGTGTTTCCTTTCTACATAACCTGTGTGGTGCCTGAGTTCCCCTATTGTCTTACCACCTATTTGGTTAGTGCACTTTATATGGCACTCGCTATTAGAGGCTTCATTTTGATTGGTAGCAAGGTTGGTATTCTTGTCCACACACACATCTGTGCTACATGCACTGATAGCCCTATAGTTTTTAAATTGCCGGGGACAGGGTTGTTCCGTATCAATTAACTCCCTGTCCCCGCTGTTTAGTTTAAATTTCCCTCCAGAAAATCTGTGAATTTATAGCCGAGTAACTCAGTCCCTTTTTTTGATGGATGCAAACCATCTCTTTTGTACATCTTTTGATTGGACCAGCTACTGACATCGTGACTAATATATCCAAAGCCTTCCCCTTTACACCATTCCTTTAGCCACATATTGAATTGTGCTATGCGCTGGCCTTTTCCGTTTTGCTCCTTATACACTGGTATAAGGAGCAAACCTGTTCATTAGCATAGAGTTCAGTAGAATTTCACCTCTGTAAACATACACAGGACTGAAATTTTACTGTGCTGCTCTATCTTATTAGACTGACTTATAAAAAATATATATACCTGTATGGATATAAAAGTACTTTCTGGAAAGAAGAGCTGTTGTTTCTACTAGAGGATCCAGACACTTTTAAAGAATAAGGTGAAAAGTTGAAAATATATTGTACTAAAATATGTGCTCTGTACTAAAACAGCAGAATCCATAAGCATCACCCTTAACTTTCTCCCAGTTATGCATTATTATTCTGCATAATTATTTTTATCCTTATAAGATTACATTTTTATATTGTTCCAAAACATGGAAGCCTGCCTGTTGGTTTTAGTCTCCTAAACTTAAAAGAAAAGATGGGGTTCCTAATAATTAATTATTTAAATTAAGTTACTTCACTGAGTGGAGTACACTATTGCAATTGCCTTTACCATTATAACTTAATGTTCACGTATTCCTCCTTTTAATAAATCAGGTGCAACAATTTCTTCGGCTATCGGTTACCAAGAAAGAGTTCCACCTGTGACAACTTTTCTTCGTATTCTAGGAGAAGCGACCTTTGTGGGTGCTACACTTTGGCGAGACGTTCAGTAATAGGTCAGTTACGTATTTGTTAGCCAAGGTTTCGGGTCATGAGAAAGAAAAACAGCGTCGCTTAGGCAAAGCATCTCCCATGAGAAAGGAAAGTTTCCACAGGCTCCACACTCCCTCAGCAGTACCCAAGCAAGCGCATCCACATTTCAGGACTCCAGCCCTTTCGCAACTAGCGGCCGAGGATTGCTCCCTCGGCTTATTTCAGTCCCGACAGGCCGCCCACCGCTTCAGGGTGCGGGGCCTTCGCTGGCTCGCATCCTCATCCGACGGGAAGGAGGGACGGGGCGGACACAGCCAGGCGTGTTCTTGTCCTCTCCCTCCCTCACTTACCGGTGAAGCCGGAGCTCCTTCTCGGGCGTCCTCAGTCTGGCGCACGCGCCTCCCGCTGCTTCCGAAGCTCGCGCCACCAGCCTCGGCTCACCCGCCACTGTGCCTCGGCAGTTCGGCGCGCTACCAACGTCATCGCTCGGCGCTCCTCTTCCCTCAATTGCCCTCTTCCTCCCCCCCCCCGTCTTTCGTCCTGCGGGCCCGCCCGCTTCTCTTTTCGGGACGATTCCGGCGCCTGAGGAGGGGAGAAGACAAGTCCCCTCCCCAATATAAAAACAGACTAAAAGCGTATTGAAAAGGAAAAGTGGGCGGGACCTTTGTTGTTGTTGTTGGAGCTATGGGAGAAGAACGCAGCTTCCACCTTTTTGTGGCTATCAATCTCCTTCTCTCCCTATTCTTCTTTTCCAGTAATGATTCTTAGTTGTAAAAGGGTCATGACCAATAGCCTTTCTCAACTCTCCTTTGCGCCCTCACGAAGTACTAAAACACTTCCCGAAACTCACTACTCTGACTTGTCCCTTGGGTCGAGCTGCTTTGCGGAAAATTGAGTCCTCAAGCACTTTCGCCGCGCGCTGCCGAAGGAACGGCAGAACTACTCGTCCCGGCAGCACCCGCGCGTGCGATTGACCTTCCCCTTCCTTCTCTTCCGAACTTCGCGTGCTGGAGGCCCGGCAGAGCCATGCCGAAGGTGAAGACGAAATCGCGCTCGCGACAGCAGCGTGGAGAAGGGAAAGGCCCCGGTGAGAGGAAGTTCTCGGGCTAGGGAGGACAGGCTGCAACGGACCGCAGCTTTGCATCATTTGCCATACAGGGGATGGGAAGGATTGGGTTGCTATGGTAATAGTAATTTGAAGGGGTACCAAGTACTTTGGCTTGGCTATAGAAGTGATTTCGAATCTTTCCCCTAGAAGCAGAGCTTGTTTTGTAAAAAAAAAAAAAAAAAAAGTGCCGGAACTCACATACGCCTTGCCTACCCTACAAGGTTTACCTTTGTACTTGAAAAAAAAACCCTTCAATGTTTAGTGTATCTAAAAGACTAGGATTTTGTTCAAGGCAACTCTGGAAAATCCGTAGAAAAAAGATGCCCCGTTCTATGACAAAAAAAGCCCTGCCTAGAAGTATCCAGATTCTAACAGAAAGAGAATATATATATGGCTCAGGGCTCAACTGTGGAGTCCTCGCAATGATGATGACTCCATATCTAGCCTCTTTTCAGCTAGTTTCCTGTTTGGATATTAGTTTAAAGATCAAGAAAAAAAAAAAGTCTGGTAGAGCTTCCCAAAATTGGTCAGGTCTGCAAAGCAGAACCCACGATTCAGCGGCTGAAAAGTTTAGCTGATTCTGGAGTAGTTGTCCATAATAAAGCCTAGGTTATAGATCAGTGGTTTTCATGGGACATTTATCAGGAAAAACACCCTTTCCTCCGACCTCATCACAAAAAAACATAATCTAAAGTATGCAAAACAAAATCTTGTACATCATATGAAGAAATAAAAATAGAACAATTTGATCAGCTACATTTAGAGAAAGAATAGTAAAGCTTTTGAAAGAAAGAGCTTTGCAGACCACTAAATATGGAGATATCCTGAATTCTTTAGGGATTGCAGTCAGTAGTTCAGAAAATATTGAGCAGGTAGAAGAAAGAACAAATTCAACTAAATATTAATATATATTAAAAGCTAATGTTCCAGAGATTGAATTTGAAAAGAGATTGGCTATTTCAACAAGACAGTCATTTAATCTGAGCATGATTGAAAGTTTGTAGAAAGATTTCTAATGTGTAAGCCATGAGCAGTCCAATGTGGAAGCATATTTCTGAGCTAGAAGAACTTTATAAGGAAAAATGAGAAAATATTTTTTAAAAAACTAGTACAGAAGAATGTTTAACTGGCTACACAAACTCTTTGGAAGCTATTTTTTTCTGCCAAAGGAGGTTTTTTACACATTATTGATTGAAACAGTATCAGATTTTTTCACTGCAATATTCACTGTTTTCTTATTTTGAATCTAAAACAACTGCACTTAAATAATATGTACATGTTAAAATTTGAAAAAAGTTGTTACGTTTAGCTTTGTACTGTACTACAGTATGTAGAGATTTGTTCAGCTTCTGCTTATATAGGAATTCTTTGCAATATATAATTTGACTAGAGATGTATACAACGGTGTATCACTGTCCAATGATTTCTAATCTGTAGTCTGCCAGCAATTGAAGATTCATGGAAGATGGCAAGTATTCTGTAGGATGAATGGCAAAATAAAAATGAAAATATTTTTAAATGACCAAAACCTTCTGAACTAAAACTTGTTAAATTTGTGAACCTCATGATAAGATTGTTACTCGTCAGAAGATTTTGGTCGTTATCATTTTTTTTAGTTGAGAAATAATTTTTTAGCTGGTTTAAGGCCTTGCGTGGCATTGGCCCTGCAGATGCTGCACTGCTAGTCTTTGATCTGCAGAACATTTTCACAATAATGTAATAAACTATATAAAGATAAAGCTTGGGAACTTCAACCATACCTCATTGTTTTGATGTGACTTTTTCTGATAAGGGTACCAGATTCTAAATTGGGTGAATTATTAGAGAGGGTATCATCCCATTATTTAAGACTTGTATAAAGAACTATTGGAGAATTTGATACAGAACTAAGGAGAGTTTGATACAAAATAAGTTGTTATAAGTATGTTTCTTAAAATTTATTTCTATTAGTAGGCATTAGGTTCAATACTGGACTTGGTCAGCATATTTTGAAAAATCCCCTAATTGTTAACAGCATTATAGAAAAGGTAAGTGATAATCACAATCATCCAGTATACGAAAATAATCTGTCATTCACATACATTATTGTTAAACTGGTAGTAATGTATACCTATTTAATTAGTAAGCCTCATTAAAATCAATGGATCTGTTTCTCACTAAACAAACAGGATTTTGTCAGAAAATATGATACTTGATTAGGAAATAAAATGTGAAATTTTGGGGGAAAAAAGTTCAACAATACCTATACACAATACAGATTCCTTGTACATTTTTTAAAATATAAAAAGTATCAGAATGGTTGTATCTGGTGCTCAGCTATTACATCAGATAAAAATAAGTTAAATAGTTTGTACACATTTAATAGATGGATCTTTTTGACTTGATAGAATTCTGCTTTAGTAAGTCATTTCTCAGTATATTTCAGCCTTTCCAGGTAGGCCACACTAGGAAATCAAATAATTCAATATTATTTTGTGAAGCTATAGTAACAGAATCATGCAAGTCTGAAAGCATTCCCTCCTCCCTTGCCTTTATTTTCATGAGAACCAGGGAGGGTCCTATTGGAGATGTTTATTCATGCTACATTCTTGCTCTGGACTCTAACCATTGCTTTGGTACAGCTCTTTTTCGTGTCCCTCAAGGCCATTCCCTTTCTCCTGTACATAATGTTGTAAATCAATTAAGTTTGTTTATATGCAGAGCTATCAAGACTAGGTTTTTGTGTAATTACATTTTATTCATTCTTTTAGGCTTCCTTATACCCTACAGATGTTGTTTTAGAAATTGGTCCTGGAACTGGCAACATGACAGTGAAAATGTTAGAAAAGGTGAAAAAGGTAAATCTAAAAATAAAGAAATGCTTTTCTTTTCTTTTGCTGTTTGGCCACAAGGAGATAGGAAAAGATAATCAAACAAAAATGGATTTATCATGTAAAAGAAGAACTAAGAGAAAAAACAACAGGCTATGTTTTATCCCTCCCTGCTCAGCCCTTTCTCAATAGAGGGGGAGGGATGCAACACTACCTATCTCTTGCTTACAATGGAGTCCTTTCAACCGTCCCAAGAAGATTCCATACCCATTTACACTGATTCAGGTGATTCTGAGGATACAGGTAAGCCCCTAAGTGCCTCAGTGACTCTCAAAGAACTAAGGACAACTGTCAGAATACTAATGACTAATGACTGCAAAGAATATAAACCCTTCCATTCGTCACCAGTCCGTTAGAACTAAAGAAGCTTCTTGGATGAGAAGCAAAACGTTTTCAAAGAAAAAGCCAAGAAAGTCTAGTTGCCTTTTGGAAAAATGGACCTTTGAGACAGCCAGTGTATGGGAACATCAGTATCCAACTACAAAGCTTAAAAAAAGAACCTTAATACTTACAGTTAAACCACAAGTTTGTTTAAAATTCTATAATAACATAAAGTAATTTTGGGATTTCTTATGTATGATATGTCCACAAAGACATTTTATATATGATTCTCTTTCAGGTAATTGCTTGTGAACTTGATGTAAAGCTTGCTGGTGAACTTCAAAAAAGAGTCCAGGGAACGTAAGTGCTCTGTGCAGTGGAAAAGTCATGGTGGTTTTTAAACTAGAACCCCTCTTGAAAATGTATTAATGATACAGTATTATTTTCATTTCAGACACTTGGCTAACAAACTTGAAATAAAAATTGGAGATGTATTGAAAAGCGACCTCCCTTTTTTTGATGCTTGTGTGGCTAATTTGCCTTACCAAGTAAGTATAAAACAAGACTTTTGAAAAATATGGCAAAGACATTGTTTTGTATTACTCTTGTAGTAATCATTCTTTTTTTATTTAATCTCTCCACCTTCAGATTTCTTCTCCCTTTGTTTTTAAGCTATTGCTGCATCGGCCTTTCTTTAGGTATGTAGAAAAATGTTTAGTGTTTAATGTAGTTTAAATGCTCTTGGAGATAATATCTGACTTATTATGATTAACTTTACAGATTAGAATTAGCATATTTATCTAGAAAAGAATTAGCAGTGTGTAAAACTAAACCTTATAAGAAATCAAGTATTATATGTCTACCTTTCAGTGGAAGTATCTATGCTTGAATCACATCACCACACCAAACTGGGTGTCTCTCTAAACCTATTGCTAGAGAGTCCCTAGACAAACTCTGAAATGCCAATAAATATTGTCAGATAAGATTAAAGAAATATTCATCCTGGAAGGGGTTGAAGCAAACTATGCTGTTTATCAGTCTTTGATCTGTAAACACCAGTCCTCTCAAAGTGTCACCATTAGTCTCTTGTAAGAATAACATCTTATTTTAAGAGCATTGTTTGGTTCAAAATATTTGAAATCTTTGTATAATAATAATAATACTCGTACCGCATTTAACAGCTAGGTCCTCACAATATCTACAACTCGTTTATTAAGCTACCCAGTAGTGGTGCATGACTTAATCTAGCCTATAGCATTTACTGGATATTCATGGAGTTCAAAACAGTAAGCTGGTTTAAAACCTATAAAACAGTAGTATATACATATAAACATTGTTGAACAAATGTCAAGTTTTTAATCTTTTCCAGGACAAGGCTAATTCAGAGTAATATTAAATTTGCATTTCATGTTTATTTTTCAGGTGTGCAATACTCATGTTTCAAAGAGAATTTGCTCTTCGCCTAGTTGCAAAACCAGGCTCTCACCTATATTGTAGGCTGTCTGTTAATACTCAGCTGTTAGCTCGTGTTGATCATCTAATGAAAGTAAGCAAAATAATAAATAATTTTATCTTGAGTTTTTGACATTTTAGATATTAGGCAGGTAGGGTGTAAAGTTGTGGCAGTTTTAATGGGATGAAAATAAGTTTTTATTTGTTTGTTTTATTATTAAATGACTTGGCAGTTCACAACCCTCAAACTAAAAAAATTACAACAAAATTCATTAAAAGGCAGAAAGATAAAAAATATTCTTTCTTTGACAGTTGACTTTATTATGTTTAACAGGTAGGAAAAAATAATTTTAAACCACCACCAAAAGTTGAATCCAGTGTTGTAAGGATAGAACCAAAGAACCCTCCACCTCCAATTAACTTTCAGGTGAGATTTATTAGTATTATCTGAAATCCATGAAAACAACCCAATATCCCCTAAGTGTATATATATTACCTTTAGATATTTGAGTGCTTGAGTGCCATATTTTGTTGGAGCCTTTCTAATGCTTCATATTTGTTATTCACTGAACATCATTAAATGATAACTAAGTATATAGGATAAGAAGTGGAAACAATCATAGCTTGATTTGGGGGGAGATAGCTTCAGGAAATCAATATATTACCCATTGGTAAGGAAAAAGATGAAAGAATATTGTCAATCATATTAGTAAATAAACTTGTAATCAAAATGTTCTATATCTTACACTTTAAAACTATGTTTAGTTTTACAGCTAAAACTTGTAATGAGATTCAAAGGAATACAGTTTTGAAAATGAATGTTTCATGTAACCTCATCAGTGCAAAAATTTACCAAATTATCCTTATCACGCTTTCCATGGAATTGCCACTCATAGAACCACAGCATATTTTCAGCTAAGATTAAAGTACAAATGAGAAAAGAGGGAAGATGGTGAAAGAAGATGTCAGAGGTTACCTTAATAGTGACCAACAAAAACAGCCTTTATGTGTGACACAAGATATACCTGCGATGACACAGGCAATAGGACAAAAAGAAAAAGAAAAGAAATTGTCTGTTTAATCTTTAACATATTTGTTTAGGAGTGGGATGGTCTACTAAGGATAGTGTTTGTCAGGAAAAACAAGACACTTGCTGCAGTTTTTAAGTAAGTTACATTTTTTAAATGTTGAATTGCTTGCAGCTTTGAACTTTCCTCTTCCCAGATTGCTGATTTACCCTTCATTGTTTTGCTTCTTGTAATTTATTGTTGCTAAGAGATAGCAGTTGATGAAATATTGTTTTCTTGAACCACAGAAATCTTAGAGTATGTATTTCTATGTGAATACCAGGCAAAAGTGTATATTGCTTAGATTTTGTGTTGGCCATTAACTAAGAGCAGAGATTAGAAGAATGTAGTTGGTTTGATTTATACCCAGTTCTGTCTGGTCATTCTTGAGAAAGAGAACTAAGCCTTTATTCAGGAATCACCAAGACAAACAGCAAAGCAAACACCAAGACTCCCATGAACTACAAAGCTAGAAAAGCTCCAGAGATATAGTATCAGATTGTTTATCTATAATTGCTGTTGATCATGAAAGGAAGTGAGGAACAGCACCATGTAGGTGCCTAAAGATGACTTTGTATTCTTGTTTCCCTCTTATCTTTTGGTTATTCTTGCAGATTCTTTTAGATTTGTGTTCTTGTTAATATAATTTAAACTTTCAGGATACGAATAATGAATATGTAGCTAAAATTTCCTTGTTCCTTTAGTACTTAAATTTGTTAACTGTGTTCATCTAGTCTGCTTTTCTTTTGCATATTATTCTGCCTAATAATCTGACAATTATTTTGACAGTGGTAATGTCAACTTCTCCTTTCCATTCTGTATTAATTATGCAAACAATTTCCCCTAACCTTTAATTTAAAAAAGCCTCCCAGAGCAATTTATAAAAATCAGTAAATAGTTCTTGCCTTATCAAAGATACATTGATGAATGAAAGGAACCGAGGAGAAAAAGTATAATAGTGGTTGATCAATCTGTCCAGATAATCTTTTTCTGCTTTCAGAGCCTTCTAAGTATGTATCATTTCATTGAATGTATATTTCCATGTGTGGAATGCAGACAATAGTATGTTAAATTCAACACAATCTCTAAAATTTAGAGACCTCACTTGCACAGAATAATGTGAGCAGTTAAAATGAGTTTTTTTAAAAAAGTATGAAGCTATGTTTGGACATGGTATAAGCAAGGTCAGTTCATAAGGATATTAAAGTCTAAAGAAATGTGCATGTTGGTGCAAATTAATGTTAAAGAAATAATCAGTTGAAAAGAAAGACATTTGCAAAACAATTTCCAATTCAAACTTTTCGAAAAGGAATTTCTATAACTGCGTGACTCTCCCTTTTTCATTATTGCAGTTCAAATGTTGTGAAACAGCTGCTGGAACAGAATTACCGAATTCACTGTTCACAAAATAATTTGGTAAGTCTTTTGGATCTCTTTACAGTCTTTTAAAAAGCATCTTTGTCTTGAACCCTGTCACATAATTTTCTATTTTGCCAACAGCAAATTCCTGAAAATTTCAATATTGCTGAACTTATACGTGAAATCCTAAAAGATACAGGTTATTTAGAAAAACGTGCTCGAATAATGGATATTGATGACTTTATAAGGTAAAAACAAATTTATTTACATCAAGATTACGATTTACTTCATGTTTTAAATAGAGATATTACTGGAATGAAAGCAAAAATAAGTGTGAGATTTATGAGATTTTTTGACCAACTTAATGTTTTTGTTGTTGCTGCTGCAACATCAGAAAAAGTAATGATTTATGCCATTTATTGCCAGCAAAATTATGCCTGCATAGTAATGTTCTCTTTGATTATGTTGTGGTATATTGTACTTGGAATATTGTAGGATAGCATTATATCTGCTAAATATTGTTTCTAACATCTTAATACAACCCTCTGGCCATTAGTATGTAAGATGGGGCCTCCCATAGATTACCGTAATCCTCCTGAAATGTTGCCTTCAACAGAAGAATGATGACCCTCCGTTAAAGAGACAGTCCAGGGAATATTGCCACCTTTTTCGGTCTAAACCTGTATATGACCTTAGAGCAAGGGTCTTCAAACTTGGCCCTTTTATGACTTGTGGACTTCAGCTCCCAGAATTCCTCAGCCAGCATAGCTGAGTTGAGGTTCACAAGTCATAAAAGAGCCAAGTTTGAAGACCCCTGCCTTAGAGGGACATTCCAGAAACCATGATTACAGTGAGCAGGACCAGAATTTTTAAAAAGCAGGTGGAGACTGGAGACTGGACAGCCATTTGTCTGAAAAGGTATAGGGTTTCCTGCCTGAGCAGGGGGTTGGACTAGATGACCTCCAAGGTCCCTTCCAACTTTATTATTATTATTATAAATATTGGATTTTATTTAAACTTAGAATTATAATTAGATTTTAATTAAAATGTACTGTAATGTGTATAATTTCCTCTTAAAAATTAAGTTCACCAGCAACTTCTGTATGTCCCCAAACCTTGGCAAAGCACAAGTTGTATACCTTAATCTTTTTTGCTACTGTTTTGTTTAATTAACATTGTCACTTTAAACAGTGGCACTAATGATTCTATCTAGTGATTTTGTTCTGAACAAAGCTATAGGAAAAGAATGCTCCATGGTAAAAACAGAGGTGTGAACATTGAAGAAACTAGTCAATATAATATTGTTGTCTTCAAGATGAAGTGTAATGTGAAACACGGGAAATCAGGTTCAAAGCAGTTCAAATGAATACAGGTTTATTGTATGCTAACAATCTTTACAGTGATTAAAACAAATTAGCAGTAAATAAGAGTCAACGGAATTCAAGGTGGGCTGGGCTGAGACATCTTGTGGGTGCAAAGGGACTTGAGATTGATGACACGTTTAACCGTTCCTGTGGGCTCAGCCTGGTCATCTACATGTAGAGAGAAAGGACATTGTTCCTTCTGCATGGGAGATTAAACGGTGTGACCATTTGGAAGTAACATCCATTATGCTCCATAAAGACTAAGACCACAATATTTTCATTTTTCAGTGTTCTTCATGGCTTCAATGCTAAAGGGATTCACTTTTCCTGAAGGGATTACACAAAAGCTGCTGCAAAGATTGAACTAATTTATATAAATAAATGTTACAATTGATTTTATTCACAATGAATGTAAACCAACCATCATCTGGCTATTGTCCAGTTTTTGCTTTTTTATTTTATTTGATGAATAATGAAGCCATTTATAAATATTATTAAAATCATCTGGAAATGGGTCCCATAGTATCTTGCTTCTCCCAGTATGTGCTTGATATCCCAAGCTAAGTACTGATATTGTTACTCATTAAAAATTGTGTAACTGATATGGAAGTTAGGATTTTCTCTAATGCCAAACTTGACATTCTTTGTCTTTTTTAAGGGCTAAATGTTCTTTATGTTGTGGATTGCAATAATTATTTCTTATCAAAGTAATGGCTTCTAGTAATATCTGTATTTACAAGACTACAATGTAGTCTTTAATACTGTACAATAATTTTCTCCATGCTCTGTATTTTATGTCATGGTTGTATTTTTGTGTGTGTGCACATATGCATGTGTGTTCTGTCAGTTTTTGACTACTGGCAATTCCCTGGACTAGTCCATGGATTTTTCTTGGCAAAGTATTTTGGAAGTGGATTGCTATTGCCTCCTTCCTAGAGCTGAGACAATGACTGGCCCAAGGCCATCCAGGTGGGACTAGGATTCGTGATCACCTGGTGATTTCTAATCTGATGCTTTAACTGCTACATCAAAATTCTTCAGATAAGTACAGTGAATCCATACCTTTGCTTAAAAGAGTAAAGTCTCTAATTCTTAAATTATATACAATACTCTTATCCCCATTATTAAGATACCGTGTACCTAATCTTTTTGTAATTTAAATTATTAAACAGATGACAACACACTAGTCACAATGCAGCAGCATAATCAGGATAATTGGCAACAAATGTAGACATTTATTCTAATTTCAATTTGTTCATCTAAATTTAGTCACTTGGAAAAAAGTTAATTTTTTTAATGAAATATGTACGTGTGTGTGTGTGTGTGTGTGTATATATATATATATATATCATATCGAACAACAAACAGGCGTGAACACCAGGAAAAGTTAAAAACTATAAAAGTTTTAATTGAGTAAAATACCAAGCTTTCGTTGGCTACTGCCAATATCGTCAGGGTTCGCTGACCTAAACGAACCCTGACGATGTTGGCAGTAGCCAACGAAAGCTTGGTATTTTACTCAATTAAAACTTTTATAGTTTTTAACTTTTCCTGGTGTTCACGCCTGTTTGTTGTTCGATATATATATATATATATATATATATATATATATATATATATATATATATATGAATAATAAAATCCAAAAACAAGTTGATCACCAAGAGAAACAATAAAAGAGTTTTAATAACCGAGCTTTCGTTGGGAGTCATCCAACATCGTCAGGGTTCTAAAAGGTAGGCGCTGGGGATACGTTTTTATAAGATGTTAATAGCCTGCATCCGGCTTCTAGAACGTGTTAACTGGCCCAGCTGATTGTGCCGTGCCTTAGATGTTTCACATACGTCATTATGTCCCATTTCCTTCATTCGGGCTGAGAGGAATCCCCCTCCCTTTTCATGCTGATTGTCTCCCTCCTCTCTCACTCTGCTGTGCACGAGCCGAGGGGGGAAGTTCTCCCTTCCCCTCATCGTTCAACCCACCCATTACTGGTCGGGGTGTGCCATCATCCTTCTTATTCCCCACCTCGCTATCCTCCTCAATAACTACCAGTCCCGTATCACTGACACTACCTTTCCCCCCACCATCTCTTTCACACATCCGTCCAGGTATCTCCTCCTCACATGTCCATCCGGATGTCTCCTCGGACAGGCAACGGCGCACTGTTCCGTGCATCGTAAACCAACCCCCCGTCTACCCCCACCCATCGGGAAATCCCCCCGTTCAAGCTGGCTGGCTGCCAACTCAACGTTCGCACTCTGGGAGCGCTGGGGCTCATGTTTGCGGTGTCATGGAGGGGCGTCGGCACCACACTTCCCCCCCTCTTCGTTGATCATGTCTGCTCCGACATCCAAGCCGGTTCCAGCATGGTGCTCTCGGCGTCAAGTTCATTGGAAGGGGATCCCCACTGCTATTCTCAAGATCACTCTCCTCCGTCTTCCGATCTTCAATCTGAGTGTCTTGACAAATTCATTCCCAATAGTCTGCTAGCTGCAGGGGCTGTCTCGATCTATCCTCTGGGGTTCGTCTACTTCCTTCTGACGGGGGCAGGTCACCACACCCTGTCTCCTCATTCTGTCGTTCGGGGGAGTTCCGTAACGATGATGTCGCACGGGGCGGGCGAACAGAATCCGTGGGGGGTGTCCGGCTCTATGCTAGTCCGATTGTGATGGGTGTTCCAATCTATCGCCTGGAGGTCCATTCTCTTCCGGCAAGACCGAGTTACCACGCCATACCCATCCATTCCACCACTCCGTGGAGTTTTATATATAAAAAAAACCTTGAGGCAGACAACTGTGCCTGATTGGGTAGAAGATAAAGTGCTGATTTTGTATGTTTGCCCAAAGAAATGATCAGGCTATAATTTTAATGGTAAGTTTATTTTAACAGTGAGAGGCAGAATAATAACAAAAAAAAGAAAACACATTTCAAAACAGTTCTACATTGATTTGCATTTTAATAAGTGAAATAGGTATTTAATCCCGTATCAATCAGCAAGATTTCTGGTTCCCACGTGTCTTTTAAAAAGGTAATGAGCTGAGATTAGGAGCACTCTCTTAGGGAGACTGCTCCTAATCTCAGTTTGTTGCCTGTATAAAAAACACCTGTCTGCAGAAGCAATCAAATTCCAAACTCTCCACTATGGCCAAGACCAAAGAGCTGTCCAAGGATGTCAGGGACAAGATTGTAGACCTACACAAGGCTGCAATGGGCTACAAGACTATTGCCAAGCAGCTTGATAATGGGAAGGTGACAACGGTGTGTTTATTTGCAAATGGAAGAAACAAAATAACTGTCAATCTCCCTTGGTCTGAGGCTCCATACAAGATCTCATGATCATGAGAACGGTGAGGTATCAGCCCAGAACTACATGGGAGGATCTTATCAATGATCTCAAGGAGCTGGGACCATAGTCACCAAGAAAACAATTGGTAACACACTACGCTGTGAAGGACTGATCCTGCAGGCACCCACAAGGTCTCCCTGCTCAAGAAAGCATATGTACAGACCCATCTGAAGTTTGCCAATGAACATCTGAATGATTTGGAGAACTGGGTGAAAGTGTTGTAGTCAGATGAGACCAAAATCAAATTCTTTGGCATCAACTCAACTCACCATGTTAGGAGGAGAAATGCTGCCTGTGACCCCAAGAACACCATCCCCACCATCAAACATGGAGGTGGAAGCATCATGCTTTTGGGGTGCTTTTCTGCTAAGGGGACAGGACAACTTCACTGTATCAAAGGGACCATGGTCATGTACCATCAAATCTTGGGTGATAACCTCCTTCCCTCAGCCAGGGCATTGAAAATGGGCCATGGATGGTGTTGCAGCATGACAAATGACCCAAAACACACAGGCAAGGCAACAAAGGACTGGCTCAAGAAGAAGCACATTTAAGGTTCTGGAGTGGCCTAGCCAGTCTTCAGACCTTAATCCCATAGAAAATCTGTGGAGGGAGCTGAAGGTTTGAGCTGCCAAACATCAGCCTCCAAACCTTAATGACTTGGATAGGATCTGGAAAGAAGAGTGGGACAAAATCCCTTCTCAGATATGAGCAAGTGTGGTGGCCAACTACAAGAAATGACTGACCTCTGTGATTGCCAACAAGAGTTTTGCCACCAAGTACTAAGTCATGTTTTGGCAAAGGGGTCAAATACTTATTTCACTCATTAAAATTCAAATCAATTTATAACTTTTTTGAAGTGTTTTTCTAGATTTTTTTTGGTTGTTATTCTGTTTCTCACTGTTAAAATAAACCTATCATTAAAATTATAGCCCAGTGGTGGCGAACCTATGGCACATGTGCCAGAGGTGACACTCTGAGCCCTCTCTGTGGGCACGCACGTTGCCCCAGCAAAGTTCACCAGTAGCGAATACGTGGCGTTTGGAAGTGACAGGGCAGGAAGTGAGTGAGCAAGCGGCATTGGCCCCCTGGGGATGCCCCGGAGATGGTGAGGGACTGGCCCTGGCCACGCTCACCCAGTCTGCCGTGACCACTGCAGCCACACCCACCCAGTGGGCCATGCCCCCGAGGCACCACAATGCTGATGCAACCCTGGCATTTTGCGATAAGTGGGTTTTGGGTTGCAGTTGGGCACTCGGTCTCTAAAAGGTTCGCCATCACTGTTATAGACTGATCATTTCTTTTGTTAGTGGGCAAACATACAAAATCAGCAAGGGATCAAATACTTTTCCCCCCTCACTGTATATTCCTTTGAGGCAGATCCTCTGTAAAGAAGCAGTGCAATAGAACAAAAGCCTGGATTTCAAATTCATCAGCTTCTCATGGGCAGAAGCTTCCACTGAATAGGTGTTTTTATATCTATCTTAAAGAATTATTGAAAGAAGAGCATTAAAACACATGAAGGTTGATATTGTGATAATTTATGATGTTGAGCCAAGTGGGGATTATGTAACCAACTTCCTGCTACCATGCTAGCAAACAGTACACCTTTCTCCTTGCAAGCTCATGTTTATAAGCCTTATTTGATATTTTTCCAGCCCAGTCATATCCCATTCTTTTAGCCACTGGGAGGAATATACACTGCTGCAGTTTCTGCTCTACCTTCAGTTTCCAAGGAGCTTAGAAAGAATCTGCTAATTGGTTGAGACCTTGGAGTGAAGAATTCACCTTAGTGAAATATTAAATGCAGTCATCCTCACTCCAATTTCAACCTTTTTAGGTCCATCAATAAATGGAATGCACTGGACACCCAATTCTTGGAAGAGTTGCCTCATAAACATTGACCAAGTCCCATCTCAGCTGGAACATAACATGCTCCCTTCATATGGAAAAGGATAAAAAAATAAAAACCGAAATGCTTCTTTGAGCCATTTGGGCTACATGTAGAACAGGAGTCCCCAACCCCTGGTCCGTGCACCAACAACTGGTCCACACAAACAAGGAAAGCCCCATCTGCGGGATGCAGGTAGCACACAAAAACACGCACTCCATTCTGCGGAAAAACCTCTCTCCACGGAACCCGTCCCTGGTGCCCAAAAGGTTCGGGATCTCTGATGTAGAAGATAGGCTTTCCAATTCTCAGATGAATGGAGTATCATCCATCATAAAATTTAGCCACCTGCTCAAGCTTATACCCATTAATAATCCTGTTAATTATTCTGACTTTCATTGTGTATAGTTTAAGTGTAACTGGTGTTCCTTGAAGAAGGAAAAGATCAAAATGTTTCTCTGTTGCCAGTCAGCATTCATAACAGGATTACAGCATCATCTGCATACAATATCACTGTGCTATATGCCTACCAGTAATATTTGAGGGATGGAATTTGTCCTGAAATAATTAACCATGCAGATAATAGGGCAATAATGCAGCCTTATTTTATTTGTTCTCATGGTCTATAAGCTGAACTGCTTTTTAGAAGCATAACTTCTAAAAAGCTACGCTTCTGAAATAGCCTCCATAAGGATCTCCATATAATGAAGACATCCGTCTCCTATTGTGATCATACTACTTTTCCCCCTGAAAGACCAGATATTTCTGCAAATTACCTTTAAAACTGGGAGATCAACTTAAATTTGCATAGGCTACAGCATTGGAGGTTCCCCTCCATCTAATCTTAGGATAAGAATATATATTA